AACAGCCGCTTCTCTGTGGGTGGGTTTCTAGTGAATTCAGATGACTGTCAAGTACTTCTTGAGGTGCCCAAAGGTGTATGAAGTATCTCTGACTGGTAGGTTTAACACAAAATCTTTGGAGCAGCAGCTAGGACCATTACAGGCTGCTCAGCAGCATCTCAGATGGCATTGGACAGCTGTGTGTGGGTAACAGTCCTCAGGATCCAAACAGCAAAAATAAGTAGTGTGGAAAATATTTTAGGGTATCTGCAACCCTGTGTGGAAGCCAGCCCAGCTGTGATTTGGTTTTATGGGGGAAATAATGCAATGAGAGTGAATGAGATAATTTGAACTACCTTGAAAAGCTAGGTATTTCTGTTACTTTATTTTGAAATTAGGAAGCATAGATCTAGATCTGTTCAAGGGCTACTACAAAGGAAAGTGGGTTTTTTATTCCTCTTCTTGGATGGACATGAGGACTCAGAACTACAGGGACTTGTTCAAAGTCAAAAGCATATCTTTCTAAACTTGGCACATGAACCGCACCATCATTTATTAAGAGTCAAAGCAGTAGCTTGCTGACTGAGCATGACCCACTCAAGATGGAGTGTCTGTCTGAAGTGTTGCAGGTTATTATTAAGCTTTTCCTGCTGTTCTCTGGAGAATTCTGTTGCTGGAAGGAATTATATTGCTGTTGAGTTGTAGGGATCTGAGCCTGACAGAGGCTATTCTGGGAAGAGGAGTAAGTATGATGACGGAGGAGGCATGGATGAGACCTTGGATGCTGATTCTGTGTGATACTTCTCTATCCCTTACAGACAACTCCTCCACTATTAAAGTCTCCCTAAAGCACAACAACAAAGCACTGGCCCTGGCCCTCAATGCAATGAAAGCCAATGCACAACGGCTCACCCAGGAGAAGACCATCTTACAGAAGGAGGTAGAGCAGTGCCACTTCCAGAATGCGATGCTGCGGCACAAGCTCTCCTTCCTGGTATGGCACTGACAGTGTGGCTGGCATTGGGAGGGGTGGTAGGCAAAGTGTGCAGTACTATCATCTCAACCTTGGGAGGAGTGAGCTGTCACTGATTGTTCATGCTCTGCATATGAAAAATGTCACCATTTGCTTACTCTTTCTTCCAAGCTGTGTTCTCTCCAGAACATGGCTTGCTCTGGCTACCAGCATCCTTGTGGGAATAGATGTTTTGATTTAATGACTTTATGTTTTTTCACTCTTTATTATCTCAACATAGGATAATGCCTTGAAAGAACTTGAGAACATTATGGCTGCAGTTAAGACAGCCCGGCTGTCTGAGGTAAACCATGGGAGATGTGAGCATGCTGCTCTGGGAAGGGATCTGGGTTTGTCTCTGGCTTTTGCTTTGTGTTGCCCACTTACTTCAGTGTTTGATGCTGAAGCTGTTTTCTTGGCTTGCTTGAATTGTGCTGGCTGCATCCTATTGGTTTTAGCTTGGTGTTAATGACTTCCAGGGTAACTTTTGTAGGAAAGGCTACAGTACCTTCCTATCCCAAGTTGCCTTCCTCTGGGTCATTGGCTGTATTTGGCTAATAGACTTTTCTGCTATGACAGGTTGTGACTTCTATTCTTTTTTTTTAAGTGTTGCCATGGCAACTCAGTGCAGGGAGTAGGATACTTTCCATATGTCCTGTCTTATGGGTGGGTGGGAAAATATTCCTGCTTCCTAGTCTGAACTAGTTTAACTTCATCCTTAAGCCTGCAGAGACAGAATCTGGCTCTGGGACAGGGTCACCAGCAATATTTGATGTACTTTCCAGGGTGAAACTGAGCTGCTTCTGTTTCTGTGCAGGAGCTTGCATGGGGAATTGCAAGAGCTTTAAACCATCTTTCTGTTTCTTGTTTTTCAGTTCCATACAAGTTCTGCACCTTCGTGGAATGGCCAGAAGAGCAGCATAACTGAAGATAGCTGGGCCGATGATATTGCAGATGGTCAGCTTGTGAGGTGGGCCTTAAAATGTCAGATATCACAAAGTTTGTCCTAAATTTCTAAATGCTAAACTTTTCCTTGTGTTTTACATGCCCAGTTGTCTGTTTCACATGAGAGGTCTTCTCTAAACCACCACTGCTTCATCTTTTCCCTTACTTTGTGCCTTTCTATTGTCACTCCTTGTCTTACTTGTCCTAATGCCAGGTCTGTGTATAAACTGGTCCTTTTTCACTCCTTTTTTTGAAAGCACATTGCTTTTAGGTGGTTTTTCCTTTGTACCTGGTGAACACTGCAAGATCTCCTCGAGTGAGTGAGTGCCATAGCTGGCTGCTTTGATGTTTGTTACATACAAATGCTTAATAGTCTTCTGCTTGTATGATGTAAACTTGTGTTTTGGAAAGAAGATCGGACCAGGATGTCTTAAAATCTATTTGGAACTCTGTTGCTCCTCTGTCTCATCTCCCTTCTGAACACAGGGGAGCCCTTGGAGCTGCCCACACATGTATCTCCAAGCAGCTGTGCTGGTGTTCTACAGTGAGGTGAACCTGTGGTTGCAACCTGTGTGCTAAAAGGCCGCCTTTGTTGCCTCAGTGTACTTTTCTCCTGCTTCTGTGTTTGCAGCAGTGTGCCTTCCTTATGAGCTGTGCTTGCACAAAAATGGGAAATTGGCCTGGCTGGGCAGTGTGTGTTCTGCAGCACTTGAATCCTTCAGAAATGTGTTTCGGCAACTCTTAAAAGCTGTAGCTATTCTGCTGGATTCTGGGGCCTGTCACAGGTATGGAACATCTCCATTGCCGTTCTTCCTTCTCACCAGGGCTACAGGGATGCCAATGAGGGTGCCCATTTCCAAGTCGTGTGATGGTAGCACTTCCACAGCAGTACAGACATCCTCACTAGATCTTCAGAGCCCTGCTTCTAATGAGCCCCTGGAAGTTGTGCCTGTTGCCTCCAAAGACACTTTGCCACCACAGACTGCTGAGAAGCCTCAGTCGCCCCAGGAAGAGAATGAGAATAAGGTGACTGAAGTAATGGAAGCACAAGAGGCTTTTCTTGGTTCTTGCATCTTTGAAGGTAAACTTGCATCTTCTACTGTTCTTCTGCTACGACTTTGTGTGTCTGTGTTTAGAAATTAACATAGTGCCATAGCTCCAGTAAACTCCAAACTGTCACTCCAGCAGCTCCTAATGACTGTTAGGAACCACGTACTTTAGTGATGCTGCTGTCACTAGAATTACGTGTATCCCAGAATAGGGTGTCTTGCTTGGTGGGGACATTTTGGCATATTTGCAGTTGCTCGAGATCGCTCATAGCATAGCATCAACCAGGTTGGAAAAGACGTTCAGGCCTATTTCTCAGTAATAGGCACTGAGCTTATGTAAGATTTTCGGGAATCTCTGAAGGTCCAGAATTTAACCAGATACACGTCTTCTGTTCCTTGTGGATCTGCCATATAAATAACAACTCTAGTACAGATGATGAGCATTCCTAAATATCAGGGCTGGTTCAGGGGTCTTGCTTCCAGCTGCCTTTCTGTTCTGAGGGGAGCCAGCTGAGCAATTCTGTTAGATGGTAAGTTTGGGGAGTCCCTGTAGACACAAAATCATGCTTTTTCTATGCTCTGGATTTGTGGCAGTGTGAGGGGCATGGCTTTTAGTGGTATGGGAAAGCTCGTATTTGCCTGCTGCATTGCTTAATTTTAGGAATAAATTTTGTCTTTCCAACAGAGGCCTTTTGCGCCACCAAACAAAATCCCAACAGTTTGCCAGCACTTTCCTTGGAAAGTCATTCTCTTTCACATGAGGGTGATGAGATGGCAAAACATTTGTTGGATCGTCTCTCACAAGGGTACGTTACTCAGAGGAGAAAGTATTACAGTTTGGTTACAACAAGCACTCCATCTTCTGGTGTGGATGTCTGCCCACCTGTCAGTTCCACTCAGGCAGCTGAATGGTGTATGAGAAAGGAAAGCAGCAGCTCCAGAAAGAGCAACACAGAACCACAGCTGAAATCTCCCACCTCCCTGGTTTCACCTGCTCAAACCACTGTTACTCCTGATAGAAAATCTTTGGGCAAAGAGATTTTCTGTGATCAGCCACAGGGTAAAGGAACTGGGTGTGGGGTTGAAATGGACCCCAAACATAGCCGAGTCCCTGAGTTTGTTCCTGTGAAGGTTAAAACCAAAGGTAATTGTAAAACTGGTGAGAAAAAAACTGGTAAAAAAGCAAGTATGGGGAAAAAGAAAACAAATGCAATTAAAAAAAAGGGAGAAAGTAATCCTGATAGACCTCAAGGCGAAGAGCGTGTTCAAAATACAGAGAAGCTTCATCAGCCAAAAGTTGCAACATGTCCTAGTGAGTCTGAAGAGATGAGGCAGAAGTTTTGTGCAGAGGCTTTTGACAAGAACACAGGCTGTGGTGTGGAGCAACATTCCAAAAAAACTGATGAAGTCTTCCTTTCCAGAAGAACATATGTGGTGAATCCAGCACAGCTGCACAGTCTTGAAAGTAGTGACTTACTGCAACAGGTTAAGAAGGATGCTACTTTTGAGATCCAGCATATGGAGAGCTTGTCAAAAAGCCCAGTTTGTACCTTCACAAGTCTTGAAGTTCCCCCAGATGATTCCAGTCTACAAAATTCACTTTTCTTGAGGAAAGAGACCTCAAGTGCCTGTGTGTTGCAAGAGGACTCAAGTGTGAGCACAAAGAGCATCAGACAGAAAAACAACAGAAAAACTAGAATAATTAGGCAAAAAGGTGACTTTGGGGAGGAGAATCTGCCAAACAGTGTGAAAACACCAGAGGCCAAAGCTGAAGAACAGCCTAAAAGAAGCCAGACAAGCAGGAAGAAGACTGTCAGGAAAGGCAGTTGTCATGATCAGAGAAACGAAGTTGATGTTTTTGGCCTATGTATAGATGCTCAAGGAGTAGCTCAAGGAGTAGCTAAGGAGAGCACAAAGGATTTACAAGGTAATCTTAAACGCAGCAGGAAAACTTACATTGTCAGTCCTTTGGATCTTGCAGAAAACTTGGGTTGTGTCCAGACAGATCTTGAAGACAGTGACATTGTACCTCCCAGGTCTCTTCCTGGAAGGAAAGCTAGCAGAATCCCCAGAGTTCAGAGGATGGTAGCTGCTCAGAGCAATAAAAAACAGACAGAGGGCCTTCAAGAAATGGGGCAAGCTAAAGTTGACAACAATGTGAGCACTTCAGAAAAAGAGTTCTATCCCAAACCAAAGCCTCAGAGGGAGAATACCACCTCTAGACCTCCGGAGACTGATTCCCTGGCCAGACAAAGTGCCAAAGTGCTCACTGAAAGTTCAGCAGAACTTGCATCCGAGCAAACTGTCCCAGCAAGGAAGTTTTCCTGCATTACAGATCTTCTGCCTGATCCAGATGCCTACCTGGAGGAACAGATGACAAATAATCTTACAGACCTTTCACACAGTCTTAAATCCTCCTGTGTGACCTATTCTGCAGCTTCGCCTGTCAGCTCCTGGCTTACAGATGCATCAGTTTCCAAGAGCTTAAGTACCAAGGGCAACAGAATGCCACAGAAATCCTCTGTTTCACTGGAAAGCTCCCTGATATCTAAAGAAACGACTGTAGAGGAAATAATACCTGGGGAAAGAAGCCAGGTGGAGCCAAGATCTCAGAGCTCACCTTCACAGGAAGCTGGTAGGTACTAGGCTGGGGAGGGGACCTGTTTGAGATGCCAAAAATCCATGCAGCAAGTGCTTATATTTTGCTTCCCCTCCACTTTTTTCAGAGTTAAGGATCAGTGACTAATATACTTCCATTTGTGCTGGCCAGTCATTTCTGTGGCTGCATTTGCTTCTAGTATATCAGCATTCCTGTAAGAATTACTGGTCACTTGCTCATGTGTGGATATTGGGAAAAGACTAGGAGCATGTGCTACGAGTTGTTTCACTACTCTTGTTATCTACAGGGCATGCCTGTCAATTTAGAAAATCAATTACTGAAGCAGTTGAAAAGTGTAATTTGATGCTGACCCTGCCTACTAGAGTCTGTGTTACTGGGGTATGGAATATGATGAAGATGTCAGGTTTTCCATCTGGAATGGTCAGTGCTGCAAGGTTTCAGTCTCCATACCTCTGGGCGGTAATTTTAAATGGAAATTCATCATCAGAAGTTACCTAAATTCTCTTGGTGTTGGTTTCCCCCCCCCCTTATTGTTTTGGGTTTGTGCTGTGTGGTTTGGTGGTAGTTTTTTTAAAATAAAGGATTTGGAGGGTGTCCCCCTTGGCTGGTAATACAGTAGTTAAGATGAGCCTTTTCGGGAGCTTGCTGTTATTGGACACTCTGTACACAGAGAGTTGTTCTGTGGGGTTTTTCCTTTATGTAACAGTTGACAAACAGGCTTGTTACAGCTAGAGTGGGCTGCACTTTGTACAGGGGGAGGAAGTTTATTCTCCTGCCCTCCCGCTTTTGGCAGACTCCACTTTGAAAGCTGCAGTGAACATCTGCATGGCCCTGTGTCTTGGCAGAAGTTTGGGTGCCATAAGCTTGCTTTCTCCTCCAGGCTGCAAGCTCCTGGGCATTAGAACTATCATTTCTGTATATTTTTAATACTATACCAGGGCCCAATGACACTAGCAGTATTAGTAACCTGTATTTTTACAGTGAGGAACCTAATTTGACTTTGGTTTGGGATGTTTAGACAAAAATGGTCTCCTGAGTTTAGAGGGAACATGACTGGATTCAGGATTGTGCAGTGTTTAAAGAAACCTGTTAATGCAGCACTCCTCTGTTTGGCACTGTATTTCTTAGGATATCTAGAGATTATTTGACAACATTTTGATCAACACCTGTGTGCATGTCTCCCTTTGCAGCGACTAGGCCACTGCAGGACTTGACCAATGCCAGCGCTTTGCCTTCCTCTATCTCGGAAGGAGTGTCAGGGCGCTCATCCAAGCGGAAACGGGAGCCAGGCTGCTACAAAGAGCCAAAACTCAACAGGTTGGGCTTTAAACTATTCCTTCCCCTGACTGTTTCCATACTACAACTCCTGCTGTGCTCTCATGTGCTTGCTGTCTGAGGCTGGACCATCTGTCACTTTGTTTATCTTTAAGTTCCTCTTGCCCTTCATGTTTCCGTGATCCTCCTCTTCTACCACAATGTGGTTAAGCCAAAATTGAGCATTATCACACATGCATGTGCAGGCTTCTGGTACCAAGCTACGAAAGATGATATTTCCTTCATTGAAATAAGCACGTTTTGGCAGACTGCATCTGTGGTATTCCAGTAGTAATGAAGGATGAGCATTAGGATGAAATACAGCCTAAATAAAGACAGCTGAACAAAAGCCCTGATTTCAATCGCTGCCATTCTATGATATCTAATGTTTTATACAACTAAATAATACTTGTATTTTAATGTTTGAATTGGGATTTTGTGAAGGAAATGCTAGGTTTTGAGGAGGGTTTTCCCCTTGTGAGCAGGCTGTATCTCTATTTGCTTTTTCTGTCAGATACAAGTACCTTAACAAGTAGCTGCATCTATTCCCTGAGAAACTGTAGATTCAGTACATCCAATGGCTACTGTACAGAACCATTTAACTCCTGAAATGATGACTTTGTTGTTATGCTGCTGGGTAATATCACATTTTTTCCCTGAAAAGGGGCATGGTTTGCACTTGTTAGGAGGAGCTGGTTATACCCGGTCAGAAGATACTCTATACTGGTACAGCTGTTCCTGGGCAAGGAACAAACTGTATTGCTCAGTCATCTTATAGTGGAAGCATTTCATTAAAATCAGAAACTTTAGAGACTGAAATCATACACTTGTTAAAGAAATACCTTGATGCTTCATTCTAACCCTTTTGGTTCTGCAGCAAACTGAGGCAGGGTGACCCATTTACAAATACCGACTTCCTCCACAACCTTCCCAACAAAAATAAAAAGAAAAAAACTGCGAAAGCCAAGGAAATTACCAAGAAGATAAAGGAAAAAGAACCGCTTCCTGAAGGAAGTGCCAAGGCAGCCAAGCTAATAACAATGGGAGGAGACATGAAGCCAGAAGTAAAATTTTGGTTGGACGGTCAGCCCCTAAGCTCCTAGCGGCTGTGTGTCTTTGCTATTGCATAGCTTATTTTTTATTCTGATTAATACTACTACTAATAAACTCAAGTAGAAATAAAGTGTCCTGTCCTATGTGGGTAGTATAACAGCTTTGTTATGTTTATTCCCCACCCTCCACCTTTAAATGCTTGGGTGCTTGTCTGTGAAGTCTTTGTGTGTGCTTGTGGCACCACAGCCAGCTAACGGGCTCTGCACAAGCCTGGGGTGAGCACACCTTGAAGGGCTGATCTTCCAGCACTGCGGATACCTACAAGGGCTTCTTAGAGGGTATGAAAGAGTTGCTTGGACAGCAAGCAGAAGAGGTGTGCTGACATTGTGCCTACCATTGCCTAGGTTACAGGCAGAGCAGTCTGCTGGAAAGTCATGTTTAAGGTTGACTACTGAAGCCTTGGATAGCCCTAGAATTCAGAGTGGTCTCCTGTTCCGTAGGGGACTTGTCAGATAACTGATACATCCCCTCTCACTGTGTTTGCTGTCAGTGGGCATTTGCATAACTATGGAGTTGAAAACTGAGCCTTTCACCAGTCCTGAGCAATATCTAGGACACAGATGCGCACAGCTAGTGACAGTGTCAGCACTGGAGGCAAGCAAGGCTATACTTTAATCAAAGGCAGCTTTAGCTGGGGTCTGCTGCTGGGAGTGTTGGTACAAACGGCTATACCTGGTGGTAGGAGCTACAAGGACCCTGTCCAAGAGCTCTGTGAAGCAGACAGCTGTATTTCGGGCAGTTCTATACTCTTTTCCATTGCAGACTGAGTGCCCACTGGCGTCCAGCACTTGGTGTTTTAGATTACTGGTGTCTAACTTTGAAGGTTATTGATATTAAACATTTGAGGGAGTAATAGGAAAAATAGTGATTGTATTAGTAGTAAAGAGGAAGGGAACATGCCTCCTTGGAAGCAGGAAAGGTGTTTCTTCTTTCTCCATGGCAGGACAGAGAAGGGATGCTGTGTTCTTACGACTACACTTACTGCTTCTCCCAATACAGAGACAAGCATTCCTTTCTCTCCTCAGCACTTCAGCAACATCCATCATTTCACCAGGATAAATTGGGTCTTGCTGTACTCTGTAGAGTCCTCCAGAAGACGGAAACTTTGTTAGTACAGAGGGAAAAGAGTGTCATCTGCATTCAGGTAAATGCTACTACGTTGTTTACACTTTAGCTGTATTGTTGTCATTAAAACAAACAAAAAGTAAAAATTTAAGAATTCCCCCCTTTATTTATTTATTCAGTTTCCTGAAAGGTACTAAGCTTTCTCTGGTGCTCTGTCACGCTGGAAGCTGGGTAGGAGCTAGTAAGTAATTTGTCAGAATTTGTCAGAGGTGCTGTTGTAGTGTGACATGCCCAAATGTGGCACAGAAGGTAAGTATTAGCTCAGACATTTGAACTACTGATATCAGAAGCCAGAGCTGGGAACACAGATCTCCAAATATTCCTGCTACTTGTTGCCATCGCTGTTATGGGTCAGCAATGGGACTTCTTCAGCTGCACTTCTTATATGTTTTTGTTAATATAACAGAATAGAAAACTGTGTTCATTCATATTGAAAATGCAGTACAGCTGCTAGCAGTTGTAGAACTGCATTACAAGCACATGCTTATCCCAAAACAAATACTAATACTAGCTGATCCAGTTTAACAGTGCATTTCTATCTATCTTTGCAAACACTTATAACTAGTCAGCTGCAGAGTGGGAGTTTCTCATATAACTCATTTCTGATCTTTGTTGAGTGGTGATACATTAGTTTGATTTTACACAAGTCCCCAGTTAATTTTCATTTTGATGGAAGTGGTACCTTCAAATTCCTCCATACACAAATTACATCTTGCCCTGGGCCAGAAGAAATTAAAACTACTCTAAGAAGGGAAAGATGATTTTGTATCGATATTGCATACCAACAGTCTATCCCAGCATGTACTGGACTGTGCTGAAAGGTACTAGAGTCTCTGAGGCGGAGTTTTCTCATATCTGCTAATTGCATAAAGGAAGAAGAGACACAGAGAGTTAGCTGGCTTTTATTTTAGTCTGAATTAAAATATTGTTTAAAAAAACCCGAAGAATCAAACCCCAAACAAAAACCATGGATGGAATAGTTTTTCACAGTCATAACTGGACTTGCTCTATCACAACAGGAAGGGCTAGTAATAACTGGAGAAACATTTTGCACCTTTATGAATTGCAGGGTGGGAGAAGTGGTAACAATTCCTATGCTTCACATCCAGTCAGTTGGAATGTAACTAAATGCATGGTCTGCATTTAGACACTGCAGCATGCATTTATTAGGCTCTTAGCCTATAGGGCTTGTTTCCAGCATGTTTAAGTGCTTCTCAAATGCTACAGTCCTGGCTGTAGCAATAGGACCAAATCCCTTAGTTATCAGGATACAATGTTTTGATTGGCACAGAAAGGTAAATTAAGTCAAAGAGGGGCTGCAGCAGGTCTGACAGAGCCCTGTGAGCTCACTTTATACCCAGCAGACAGTACTGGAGAGATCAGGACGGTTCTGATTTCTAAGGTCTGTTGGACAGTAAATCACCACTGGTTTGACCAGAGCTGTGGCACAGACTGGCTTTCAGTCCGAGAGAAACAGGGAAAAGAAACACAGATCAATAAAGTCATGGAGAGAAACCTCAAGTCTGCTGTGAATGACATTAGGAATCCAGACCCACACTGAGCTTGAATACTATCACATTCAGCTGCTTAGCAAAAGTAAGGCCTAGCCCAGCAGCTCCTCAAGGGCTTTAAGAAAACATACACTTTAAAACATTTAAAAAATTGTACATGTTCATTTTTGTCTAGTGTTTGAAATGTTACAGAACAGAGTGTGATACACTTACACACTCTGGTGTAAATGGAAGATGCTTTGTTAGCAGAGCTTGAGTAGAGCCTGTCCCTTAAAGTTTAGGCAGAGAGGCCAGCTTCCCCTTCAGGTTTTCAGCAAGCTTGTCCATGAACTCAAAGGTGTTCAGGTAATCAGAGCGTGTGACACTGAGGGGGAGAAACAAAACAAAACCAGAGAGACATTAATTGTAAAGCCACTCAAATACTCAAAACTGGGGAAGACTGTTCAAAGAACTCTAAGTCTTGCCCTTAAAAACAAACGAGTTCTACTCATCAGGCTGATAGGTTTTGGTTGTTGTTGGGGTTCTCCCCCAAAAGGCTCCAGAGAAGAGGTAGCCAGGTGCTATTTTGCAGTTAAATAGGTCTCCATCCTAATAAATGGACAGGGCAGGATCTGGCCAATATAACCATCCTGTCATAAGAGAAGTCTTTGCAGTTTCTTCTTCATTTCCCCTTTCCCCCATGCATTTGGTACAATAGCAAGGACAGAGCAACCTACTTTGAGCTACTTAGAGCAGGGAGTGTCGCATGTTCTGTTTGTACTGCACCGGCTACAGACAAGCCCTGTTCTGTGACCAGACTTCAGCAATTCTTCACCACATTAAAATAATGTTCTAGCAAATGCTGTTCAGAAACCCTAAGCAAAACAGCCTCCTGCACGTACAGCTGATTACTTCATACTTACTTAGGTAGACCTTTGATACAGGCAGCAAGGTCCTTTGTCATGAAGCCAGATTCAATGGTCTCAATGCAGACTTCTTCCAAGGCAACTGCAAAGTTCTTGAGGCTAGTGTTGTTGTCCAGCTTAGCCCTGTGAGCGAGTCCTCTTGTCCATGCAAAGATGGAGGCTGAGAGAGAACAAACTAGATTACTTTGTCCATCTAGAACTCCCTGGACATTGTTCTAAGTTGTCATGTGGTAATTTTTTAATAATAAAACAAAACAGATAGAAAATCTGGTGTGGGAAAGAACACTTATCTTCCTCCAGGCATCCTTTGTATTTTGTGCAGCAATAAAGAAAAGCAAACCCCCAAACCTACTCACTGCCTCAGCAATCTGTGTGTGTGTGCCATTTTACCTCATTTTACTCCTGCCCAAATCAGAAAGAATGACCGGTGGTAGGACTCTGGTTACACAAAGTTGCCCTTATGAAAGGAGGGTGCAGTCTTCTTCCTGGTATTACAATTACACTCTGGATCCTGTGCAATTGGACAGGATTCTTCCCTCATGTCCCATTTGAGGTGCACTTACACTTCGAGTACGTGCATAGTTTTGGAGGTGGCTGGGTCTTTCGAAGCAACAGAAAGGGGAGTAAAATAAAAAAATAAACCAACCTAAACCTTAAGGCTGTTGTGGCTACAAACCCCATCATTTGCTGAAAAGTGAGAGCATGTCTCAAAGGCTAGGTTAGGTCTAGCTTATTGCTCACACTCCATTCCAGCCTGGTTTTGCTCCAGGCTGCAGATGCCTTCACGGAAGAGAAATGTTTTATGAACTACCAGTTCCACCACTCAGTGGTGCAATTCTCTGCAGAAAAGATGCAGATGTGCCTGCTCCAAACCTGTTGTTTCATGTGTGGAGATCGCTGAGGGGCAGTGAAAAGCAGCTCACCAATGGGGTTAGTGGAGGTTTCCTGGCCTTTCTGGTGCATGCGGTAGTGACGAGTAACTGTGCCGTGAGCAGCTTCTGCTTCAACAGTCTTGCCATCAGGGCAGATCAGCACACTGGTCATCATCCCCAGAGAGCCATAGCCTACACAATACAAGTTTAAAAAGTTCACTGTCTCCTTTGGATAGGCCCCTTGAATTCCCCTTAATCCTCCCACCCTACCATCTCCCTACATCCTCCCAACCTTGATGTGAGTATTCCTGAACAGCAGTGATGCTGATGCTGCTGCAACTATCTGGCTAGTCCTGACACGTCAAAATAGCAGCTTGTCTGAACAGAAACTGCTGCTGAACCATGAAGTATAGATATGCAGACATTCTGCACCATTTCAAGAAAACCAGTATTCTCACCTAACTTGCTGGACATACTTTTACTGTAAAGATGCAGTACAAGAACAAAAAAATCCTAAATAACCAGTGTTGGGCTAAAAATCACTATCTTGCCCATGGGATGATAGGAAACAAACCTGCTTCATATCAAGAGCATCTGCTCTAGTGAAAGGAACAATGAGCTGGCAAAACTGGGCATTTGTATTACTTCTAATCCTGTAGGTTTCAGAGATCTATGTCTTTGAAAGCTTCTTTGTTCAGCAGTCCAACACACATCCTTGCTCTGTGGGAGGCAGTTTACTGCATTAGTTTAGAAAGAGCATATTACATAAAGTCATACATCTTGTCCTGCATCGATATTTGTTTTGGCACCATGCAGCATGGTCATGTAGAATTTTGATCAAGTACTATGAGTCTGTAAAATTAACCATGTCAATCACTCTTTACATCTGACAGGTAGCTTTAGGTCCTGAAGGTTTCCTTAGCTGCAGAGCACCTGCCAGTATGCTCACCACCAGTCAGCTTAATTCAAACTGTACAGACATCTTCCATGAGAATTGAAAGCCTATCAGCTATTACATTGGTAGGAGCTGCCACCTGGTAAAAAAGTACAACTACACAGTCTACATTCAATGGATTTTCTTGTAAAAGTGAAATCAGAGATTCTTTGCCTGCCCGATATTTCCATGACTGGCCACAGGTTTTGAATGAAAGTTCTGAACCCTCCTGGGCCATTACATAAGATATGACACACGGTCACAAGAGACTGCATCTGAGCCTAGTAGTAGCAGTGTAGGACAGGGAACATCTCATACCTTGTGCAACAGAGTCAGACTGCACGTCCCCATCATAGTTCTTGCAGGCCCAGACAAAGCCTCCTTCAGATTTCAGGGCCTGAGCAACCATGTCATCAATAAGCCTATGCTCATACCAGATTTTTTTGGCTTCAAACTGGGACTTGTATTCTCTGGAAAACAAAAACCAGAACACCTTGCCATATAAACAGGGATTGCACAATTTGTGCAAGTAATTGTGCATACTGAGGTGCAGAATTCTGCATAGAGATAAGAGTAAAAAGAAAAAACCCAACTCCAAACAAAGCCTTAAAAGAAATTTACTCATTTATTTTGCTTGCTTTGTTAGGCCTCTGCAAGCCTGCTTCAGAATCACAGAGAAGCCCCTGGAGAATCTGCAGCTCTTGATTAGGAGAGATATATACCTCAGATACATTTAGCAAAGCTTTAAACATCGAGTACTGTGTCCTGCAGGACAAGGGAGACTGACACAGCTCCTCCAAAGTGCTGCAATTTTCAGAGTGTCTGAAAACTCTGAATTAACTGTAGTAGATCACAAAGCTGAGGAGGATGTTTCTGCCACAGACTTATGCACTGCAGTAGGAAGTACAAAACTACCTAATACCTGTCATAGATCTCTTGGAAGATGTCTTTAAAGCGCCCATCGTATCTCTTCAGAATGGTGTTCTTGGTGCTCATGTAGAGGGGCCAGCCTTTAGACAGTGCCATTTGGAAGGAACTGTGGGCAAAATCCTTGATAGACTGGTCAAGATTGTACATTCCCATGGCTACACCACCACAGCCTGTTAGCAGAGAAAGAACAGATAGGAATCAACTATATGTGGTTTTGGTTAAGGATTTGACAGTATCCCCATAGCATACTCTGGCAGGCAGCTGGAGTTATCCCCAGGTGTCTTGATACAGTTCTTAGTTTAAGGCTGGTTCTTTCAGTTGATTCACTTTGTGCTATCATCAGCTCAAGGCTCCAGCAGTCCTATCCATGTGACACATGGAGAGGATGGTGATTGTTTTACAGCTACGTACATCTTAATACTGTGATCTACTACCCATAAGTAGTTTCTTCCTAATCCAGCTGTCAATACTAACATACTAGACTAAGCAGCAAAACTATAACAGGAGTCAGTGTGCTTGAGCCCCTACTAGCCATAAGAGAGAGTATTTTCTATCAAATCAGCAGGCAGTGGTTTGGATCAGGGATCTCAGTCAAGCTAGAAATGGGTTTGCTTCCGTCTTAAAGTGCCTTGTACCTTCAGGCTTTGACTGCACCACAGAACTAACTCCAGCAGGCTGCTTTGCTAGCTCAGGTAAACAAGTCCCCACATGCATTCCTGATCTGGCCTACCCTGCAGCATTGTTTCACCTGCTCAGGCTAACTTCCAGCAAGTTTGGAAAGAATATGCCAGTCATCTGGGTGCAAGGGAAAGTCCTGAGAAGTCTCTGAGAAACTATCAACACTCATATGACTTAGACTGTGTAAAGTAGATGTGTTAGCAGCCTGAATGGAAATGCCTTAAACTTACAGCCCAGATCACCTGGGGGAAAGCAGCATTTGAATCATAGGAGAGGCTGATTGTGGGTGAAAGTAGGGTCTAGGGCTTCATGAAAAGGTTTTGCCATCTTCAGAGCCCAGCTTCTTGTTTTCTTAGTGAAAAGTAGATACTGTGTACTTGATTTTAAGCACCTCATTACTATCACCACCACCTCTCTCTAGTTTGTTGTACAGTGCCTTTATCATGGATCTGTGTTCTGGAAACACCCCAGATTTTTGAACTACTATTATTTTTGAAAGTATCCTTTCCTAATATCCATTTCTCCCTACCTCCAGATGTTGGTTGCATGGACATACATGCAGAATGAGGTGGGCAAGCCAGAGGAGGTTTATCTGCTTGCCAAGATAGCAAGGTCATTTAAAGTTGATATTGGCAGGGAATGAAATTCCTGTTGTTACCAGTGAAAATACATGTTGTTCCCCCTGCCTACATTATGAGTCAAGGACAGAACAGGTTCTAATCCACTACAGAGACTGTGTCATCCAAAGCCATGGTTTTGTATTTACTGGGTGACAACTATTATGTTTCATTCAAATACTTATTTGCATACAGGTAAAAAAAACCCACAATAAAACAACTCTCGTGGCAATCATATAATCCTACTGCCAACTAAAATCTCTTGATTCAGTGTTAAGGCTGAACATATTAGTGCAGCACAAGGACAAGCTTTCCTTATGCACTGTGGAGATAACTGTTGTGCCAGCCTATCTATGATGAGGGGAGTTCCCCCAGAACAGCAGCAATCTGCAGTCTTTGCACTTCCTTGCTTTCTGCTCGCTGATGCAATGCAGAGCAGTGAATCAGACTGACAGCTGGAACAGCCAGACATCTCCACTACAGGTTCACCAGTCACCTATCAAATGAAAATGGATTAAGACTGGCAGTGAAGCAGGTGAACTCCAGATGAAAGGCTGTGCAACAAGAGATAGTAGATATTTAGGCTTCTGTGAGCAAGAGTGCCAGGGAAATCCAATTATTACAGAAGAGAGGGTCATATGGCACAATCTGTACTTGTTTGCCAAGCCAACTCCATACAAACAAGGATTCTGTGGTTTACATTGTTTTGTAACTAGAAACCAAACATTGCACACTCACATACACGGGTCACCATACAGCTTCAAATCCTGAACCCTTTTGATAGATGAGAGGACTTGTATGATGTTTTCCAGAATCCTGCCCTTAGAGAAATACCTTGGGTTCTAGCAATGTGTGTGTAATTGTTTCCACACAACAAAGCCCAGCAATGTCAGGATTCCTCCTCCTGGGCCTAGCAGTATCTACAGCCAGCACAACAGTTTTGCTAGGAGGGACACCAATACCTTTGGGACTAAATCTGTTTAAAAAGCTAGAGCCTATGAAGTCAGGAGCATCCTTGTCAGAGCTCCTTTCCACCTTGCAGAGTAAGTGCCAGTTCTCATTTCTGTTGAGGTAAAAAATGGTTTAATAAAGAAGGATACAAGCTGCAAAGGTATATAAAGCCCACAAGACAAACTAAAACCAGAAAGAATTATACCCAAACTGTTCCCAAGTATATCTCCCCTTAGGTCAAGCCCTGTTTACATAGCAAGTCTCCCTCTGATCAGAGAGAAAAACACACATACCTCTACCAGAGTCATCATACAAGAAGCATGACAGGTGGCCAGTCTAGTACAACTGTGTGTTTGAAATACCTCTTCAATCCCAGGAAGATTTCAAGTAACTTTCAGCACTTCCCAGATCAATGAGTAAGGCCCAGACCTCCTCCTCCACTCTACCTCAAAGTCATATTTTACCATCAAACAGATCTGACCAACACTTCAAGGTTGAATTAAACCAAAAATGCCAGTTTCAATCACAATTTAGAGATAATACCTACTTTCAAAGTTATGGACCACATATGTGACTGGTTTGCCTCCACCTTCTGGAGTGTAGATCATCTCTACTTTTCCAGGCCCAGGCACCACAAAATCAGTTGCTCTGTACTGTTAAAAACAAAAGTTGCCATGATGATTTTATCTGTCAGCAGGACAGAAGCATAAAAGACAACCCGCATTTGGGAGGGCAGGGTGCCAAAAAGCATAGACAATTGTACCAAGAAACCCCCGACTGAACAGGCTCTGTTTACTCAGCTGTGTGGTCATCAGATTATTTTATTAGAAGGACAAGTCTGCCTGCTTCAGAAACAATCTTCCTTTTTAAGGGAAAG